CCGCTCGGCTCGACTGGACCGCGGTGCCGGCCTCGGGTTCGAGTCCCCACCACCAAGTGACCCCGACACGTCGAGCCCAACCTTCATCCCAACCAGTCTGTCTCCAGCCGCCCGGCTGACCCTATTATCTGCCACTCAGTTGCTATGCTCCGGCCTGATGTGTCGAGCACGGGACTCGAACCAGAGGCCGACTGGAGGTTGTGTCTCGCAGGAGGAAACGCACCGACGGGTACTGGCTCGTCCAGCTTCACGAGGGCAATGTCGTAGCCATGCGTGGTCACGCCGGACAGGTACTTGGGATGCAGGATCGCCTGGCTGGCGCGGATTCTGCGCTCGGAGCGCTCGGTGACGTCGCGATGGTGATCGCCGATGACCACGTCGACGGGACTCAGTCCGTTCTGCTGCGAGAGGTTGAAGAGTGCGCCCAGCGCCAGGCCGGTACCGAGTGCCGTCTCGAAGGCTCGTTGGTTAGCCAAACCCTCGTCGCTCGGCGTCATGGTACCCGCCGAGATGGCGTGTCCCGTGTGTCCGGTCTGACGGGCGAGCGGTCTGTACGGCTGGCCGTACACAAACAGCGCGTCTCTGGGCAGGGTCTTGACGTGGGCACGGCTCGATGAGGTGTAGTATGGCCGACGCCGGGGCCTCCGGGCTCCCGCGACTCCCGTGATACAGTGGGCCGCGGTCACCACCCAACTGGGGTCAATCAGTGTCCCGCCGCACATGGCCGTCTGATCTTGCGACTTGGTGCGCAGAGCCAAGCCGACCTTTGGTCGCAACACGCGGAGCACGCACAGAAATACAGGTTTTCAGGTTAGTCCACATACACTTTGTCTTGGTCAAGCAAAAAGTAAAAAGATAAAGTCACTCTAAATGCTTAAACTGGCACCCCTAACATCCGTTTCTATGCGATTGTCTGCAATTGAGTATGTGTGTGTGTGTATGTGTGTGGTGGTACGTTTCTCCTCGGATTCGGGCGCCTCATTCGTCTGAACTGACGTGAGGAAGCAGCCAACTTGACCGGGGCCTTGGAAGAGACGAGCGGGTCTACGGTTGGGCGCTGTCCAGACTCTTGTCGTGGGAGATTTGGATCGGTTCCATCGAACCGGCAATTGGCCACTCGGTCCATCCAATCGGGTCTCTGTGGGACAACAGGACTTTGATCAGACTTGACAAGCAGACTTAGCAGAAGATTTGTGGGGGGAATTTCATTTCGTATGAAAGTGATTGAAGAAGAGCTTCGTACGTCGATCTCACCAGAAGAGGAGGGAGGAATCCGGTTTGGCTTGAATTCGACGCTCAGGTAGACGCAGTCCACGCGACATCCTGCCTCGTTTCGGGTGAAAACGGGCTGAGATTTCGTCCATTATTCCGTGGACATTATCAGAGCTGGTTCTCATTCCTGGAAAGGTCTCACGTTAACACGAGGCCAAAAAGACTATCCGGTTCTATCTCACTCAATTAAGCCAAAAAAAAAAAAAACCCGGATAGATAGATAGATAG